GAGCGGGGAGCCCGATGTGGGACTCGATCCCAGGACCCTGGGATCATGACCTGAGTCGAAGGCAGACGCCCAACCATCTGAGCCACCCAGGCGCCCTAATGGTTTTATTAATTTTAACACGTAGGGGATAAAGCTATAGGTTGCGTGCCTGATTCCTTCTATTAACTCCATTGTCACTTACAACGCATAGATCTGCCTTCTTTTCCTCTGAGTAAGGATGAAAAGTGAAAACAAGAAACCATAAGCCAAACATTTCCAGAAAAAGTAAGACCTGAACCACACACAGGAAGCAGGCCCAGAGGTCACGTACAGGAAGGAAGAGGGTCCGGTTGGCTGTTGCAAGATGGATGGTTTGCAAGATGCCAACAGGAGGCAAATTCACGGTGCAAACTTAATTCACATCCTGGGAGGGCAGCCCGGGAGCATCCGACTAACCCTCCTAACGTGAACAGGCTATGACAAGGCAGACACGGAGCAGGCCTGGGGTAGAACACCCCACAAGCATCCACTCGTTCGAGCCTCACAACAACTATAATGAGAAAGACTCTTACTATCCCCATTTCACAGATGAGGAAACCAAGGCTCTGAGATCAGCCACCAAGTTGACGGGGCTACAAACCACGCCACACCCAACTTGGTCCTCTGTTCCTAACCCTGTGCCTCCAGGAAGCAAAATGAGAGCAGAGCCCAGCAGAGGGGAGTGAGGCTTTTTGGGATCAGCAGAAGCTTGAATGCAAAGAGGTGTGCCTGGACAAAGAGCACCATTCCCCCCATCTTTCTCCCGCTCAGACCCCGGGAAAGCATCTGAACGGGCTCCCGGGCCCAAGACACATCCCCAAATATCCCAAGGTAATCGGCATCGACTTAGGGCCCACCTGGGCCGAGGCTGCCTTGAGTCTTACATGAAATCATCTCATGCGCTCTTCCCAATCCTGGTACAAGCGATGTATCTTGTCCTGCATATTATGGACGAGGGAACTGAGGCACTGGGAGGGTCAGTGGTGAAGCTCTCACAAAGGACAGGGGTGGAGTTCAGGCTTGAACCAGATGTTTGGCTCCTGAGCCCCTGCCTTAACCATGGCCCTACAGTGAAGAAGGGAACCAGTGCCTGTGGGGGAGGGACCCCAGAGTGAGCACGGGGGGACCCGAGTGGGAGTGTGCCCTGAGAGCCTGGTGCACCTGTGTGTTGCATGGGGCAGTGTAAGCAGGCTGGTCCCCACGCTCTGTGGCTGTGGGGCCTCTGAAGTGTATCTCCGCCCTCCTGACCAGCCTGATCTGCTCGGCCCAGGGCCCCAGGAAGGGTAGGGTGTCCCCAGAAGCTTCTTATTTAAACCAGCCCACAGCATCTTCCTAGGACGCATTCGCTCCCAGGGAATCAGCCCAGAGGCTACTATCGACAATTCCAGAAGTAACTGAGTGGACAAGACGTTCTCCACCATGGCTCCTGGTTCTAGGAACACTGGCACCGAGAATGGTCCCTGGGTGCCCTCCCCCACCGCCAACCAGGATTCTGTCCTTGCTCGGTTTCCCAGATCATCCCACCCCTTCTTCCTAAGATATGTGTCCAGAGGAGCTCTCCGCAACAGGAAATCCCAGGGGAGTAGGGGCCACGGAGCGTGAGGATCGGGAGATAAGGAAGGGCTGAGCATGGAACATTGGCTCAGATGGGACAGGGCCCCGGAGCCCCTCACGTGCTCCCCTCCAAATGTCCCAGTCCCTGCTGGGATGTCTTGCATCCCTTTTGTACCCAGCCAAAGTCTGTGACACACACCTCTCCCATACCCACAGACCCTTCCCAGCTTCCGTGGGGCTCCAACTGGGCATTTCTCAGGTGGCTCAGTCTTTCCCTCTATGGCGGGCCCTGGAAAGCTGCCAAAATGCCAGTGCCAGGCCCTAGGCCAAGAGGGTGACACCTGCTATCTCCGCGAACGCCCTGAGCCCAGCGCGACCCTCCCTTTTACAGAAGCTCAGAGGGACTGGGTGACTCGTCGGGGTCACACAGGCTGGACACAGCTAGAACAGCAGATGACAAGCAGGACTGCCTGGGCCAGGGAGGGCCGGCTGCACCCACCTGGCTACCCAGAGCTTTGTGCAAGGCGACTTCCTGTCCCAGTTCCCCGCCCCTCCCGGACCTGCTGCCTCTGACACCCAGAGCCTCCCTCCTCCCAGGCTGGCAGAGACCGTGCACTGCCCAGGTGCATACAGAGTCCCAGAGCAGAGGAGAAGGAGGAGGGAAAGGCAGGCTGCCGCAGGAGGTGTGGAAGCCACCGCAGCTTAAGGATTGGAGGTAGAGGGGGCGTAGGGCAATGCCTTCCCACCAACCCCAAGGCCACCGGCTGAGGGAGCCAAGCTTGGCAACAGCTTGGAAGGTGGGGCACTTGGCATTGCCCATCCACTGCAGGGAGGTGGGAGGGGCAGCTGGGTTTGGAGGGAGGCCATTGTACAGATGGAGAAACTGAGGCATGGGGCGAGGAAGAGATGCCCAGGAGGTATGGAGGTCAGGCCTCACCTCAGTCAACACTCACCTCTCTGAGCTGTGAGGGGATGGAGAGCCCCGGTGGGGAGAAGCCCATCCAGCCAGCTGAGGGGAAAGGGCCTGAAGCCAGATGGTGGAACTGGGGGATCGGGATGGGAGTGGGGAATCCTCCCCTCTCTGAGCTCGTTCCTGCTCCTGGCTGGAGGGTGGTATGAACCCCCCTTCCAGGGTCACTGAGAGCACTGAAGGAGAGAAGCCTGGGGGGCATTCTGGAAGCTTCCCCCCCCCACCGCAGTGACACCAGGGAGACCCATTGGTACAGGTGGGGCCCCATCATAAAGGGCTCGCTGTGCACACCCAGCACCGTGCTCTGGACTGACCCAGAACTGCCGCACTGAATCCACACAGCAGCCCAATGAGGTGGGTACCGTTGTGATCCTCATTTTACAGGTGGGGAAACTGAGGCACGGGGAGGTGAAACAGCTTGTCTGAGATCTCACAGTCACTGAATAGGGGAGCTGGGTTCTCAGGTCTGAACCTATGTGTAGCAGAGGAATCTGCGGGCCGTTCACCTGGCACAGTCCCACATTTGGGACCAGGGGAATGAGAGAAGGGACAAAAATGCACTCTGCCCCTCCATCAAATAGCCATGGAGAGCCTGCCGTGTGCCAGGCAGCCGTCAGAGCGCACAGAGAGGGATGTGGTCCGCCTTTGGTTTTTAAAGAGATCACAGTCAGGGGAGGCCCAATCAACCTCAACCCTGTACCACCACCTCCCCCACCGCCAGGGCCCCGGGGATCTGCAGTAGCTCCAGAACAGGGCCACATTCCCAGGAAAATTCAAGCGTATGTGGATCGTATTCCTCTGCTGGGAGCCACACCCAGTGGAAACAGTGGCAGGCTGAGGCTGGCCAAGACTTCAGCCTCGTCCTGCCCAGAAAGTCCGGAGAGCCAGGCTGAGCAGACCCAGATAAAGAGCCCACTGTGTGCCAGGCCCTTTACAGAAGTTATTGTGCACAACCGTGCTAGGGGGCGGGACTTCCAAACCCCTCTGATGCAGACAAAACCACCCCCTGGTTCAGAGAGGTGAAGCAGCTTGCCTGAGGGATCGCAACCCCGCTTTATAGATTTATCATCTGACCCCTGGTCTGTGCCCCGGGCCACCCGTGCCGGCCCAAAGTGGCTGAGTCAGCATCGGGCATGGCCCATATTCCTCCTCGGGAAAATCGACAGAGTTTGTTCGTATCTGGGGCTAGCTTGGTGACTATGAATGAGCAGCCTCTCCACCCTGGACCTCTGCTTCCTCCTCTGCCAAAGGCGCTTTTCGCTTCCCCTCCTCCTCCCAAGGCAGCAGCGCATCTCTGGCGGGAGACATCTCAAGGGGCCTGGGTAAATGGTAGCTCTTGCTGGGCCAGCCAGTGAGAATTCCCCAGTGGGAGGGCAGGCCCCCAAAGGAATGCTGTCCCCAAGAGTGCCTGAGTCATGCCACCTCTCCGTGGATGCAGGACGCCACGGTTTATGAGCTGGGTACAATGACTGCCTTTGGTAGACGGGACAGAGGGCCGTGGGCTGCCTGGGCAGGGCACACACGGGTGGCGTGGGTGGACAGCTCAGCGGTGGCCTCTGGACTTAGTCCCTGTTTGCTCCTCCGATAACTGGGGTGACCTTAGTTAATATTCACCAGCAACCTCCCCCGTCATCCCTGTGGGTCCACGGCTTAAATAGGCACTAGAGACAAGGCCCTGTCTCCTCAGCCTTGGTCACCGGCCCCGGCCTGGGACAGTAACTGTAAGTATGCCGTCCGCTGGGGAGATTCTCCGGAGGTCCCCATGCTGCCGAGCAGGCCCCGGGGATGCAGGGAGGATGGAACAGGCTGGGGCTGGAGCCCCTGTCGTCATGGCAACAGCAGCCCCGGAGGTCCCTCTCCGCTCCCAAGCCTGCCCCAGGGATACACTGGCCCTCGGGGAGCCATGGGGAAGTGGAGACCCCAGGAAGGAGCACACCTCTGTGGGCACAGCTCCTGTGTCCCTCCTGTTTGTTGTCCCTGCCGGCCTCACCACCTTCCCCGGGCTTCCCCTTCTGCGGGTGAGAAAGGTAAGGCCCAGAGAGGGACCGTGGGGAGCCCAGGCTCCCATAGAGACCTTGTGGGGAAGCCAGGCGGGACCAGAGTGCAGAGTTCCAGCCACTCATGGGCTCTCCATCCTCTGCAGAAACACCCAGAACAGAACCATGCTGGACCCCCTGTGCACGGTGGGTCTCTGTGCGCCCTCATGCGCACAGAGATGGAAGATGGGAAACCGTGGAGGGGGCCCCGGCTCGGGCTTTCAGCTGTGCTCCTGAGCCCTCGCTCTAGCCAGCGGGCTGCTGAGCTCCTTGCATGCGGTCGGCCATTTGAGCCTTAGGACAACCTTCTGAGGTGGTTACTGAGATGATTCCCATTTTACGGATAAGGAAATCAGGAACAGGGAAGCTCATAACTTGCCCCAAATTACACACTATCCAGGATTCCAACTGGGGCCATCTAGCTCCAGAACTCACCCTCCCAAACCTCTTCCTCCCACCAACATAATTTTCTTGGGTCTTAGGACCCAGCTGGGGAGTGGGAGAAACCCAGGTGGCCTTGAGGCCTCTTTGATGCGGGGTGACCCTGGGCCACTGCTCAACCTCTCTGTCCTCTTGGACAAACTGTAGACAACCTTTGCCCTCTTTCCTCTCACCCCACCCTGGCCCCCCAGCCTTGATCTCTGGAGCATGGGAAGGATATAATTTTTCTGTCATCAGTTCTTGGAGATGGGGGCTACAAAGATGACCGAGGCCAAGGCCACCAGACTCCTATGCAGCGCTCCGAAAGATCCGTAACTATATCGATAACAGCTAAGCCTCCCTGACAGCTGACTTTGTGTCAAGCATTTCTTGGCACTTTGTACATATTTAATTGGCACAACAGTTCTGTGAGGAAGTGCACCCTTGTCATCTCCAGGAAACGGAGTTTCAGAGAGGTTAATTAACCTGTCCAAGGTCACACAGCTGCTATGGAATTGAACTCAGGCATCGTGGCCTCAGAGCCACTGGCCAGAGCCACACGCGATGCCCTCTTCATTTAGCCCGACCACATCCAAGCATTTTCTGTTGCAAGGTCTCTGGCTTTAGCTTTGTAAACAGAGAAGCATTGAATGTCAAGTCCTAGAATCAAAATGCCCAGCGTTAAATCCCAGATTCATAAGCAACCAGGTCTGTGGTTTTCAGTAAGTTGCTCAACCTTTGCAGCCCTCAATTTCTCCACCTATAAAATGGGGCTAATAATCATTCCCGCTCCACAGGGTAAGCGTTGAGGGGACATTAGATGAGACAGTGCACATGAAACACCTGGGGCTTACTGGGTGTGACCACCGGGATGGTGATGCTGGTGCTGGTGTTCGTTCGGCACGGGCTTTGGCAGCTAGGAGGCAATACATAATACTCGGAGAATTGAATTTAAAATTCTCCAAACTCAGAGGTAGTTCCCGGCCTAGCAGGGGCCACGTCTCTGGTCCTGGGCAATGTGGCAACTGGCCAGGAAGAAATCTGCCGGTTTTTACACGTGCACCCTACCTGCGCGCAGGTACGGGGAGAGCTTCCACACCTGGCAGGTGCCCGCCCGCCCACCCACCGCCTTGTTCGTCCCTCACATCTGCCTGGTGAGGGATTCTTTTCCCCACAGACAGGAAGCCATGGCTCAAAAGAGTGAGGTCACCTCCCCGGGGCTACTTGCCCAAACTCGGCAGGGCTGGGTCACACGTGGGCTTATTCAGTGTCAGGGTTTAGCAGGTCGTTGATGCCCCAGTGGCTTTCCTGGACCTCCCTGGGTCACCCCTGATCATTCCTTTTGTGCTCATGGGTGGAAATAGAATCCAACCAGGTAAAGAGAGGGCTCACTTCCTGTGCCCCCACCTGCACACTGCTCCCACCAGCCCTGGACGCCGGGAATGTCACCGTGACGACTTCATTCTTTTGGTTTAAAGCTTGGTCTGTCTATACACCTCTGGGTGCTTCACTATCTACCTTACCCACTCCCGTTGCCTTCCCCAGCATTAGGTTTGGGGGGATGCAGGGTGCGGCCTTTGATAGAAGGGCATGGAGAAAGCAGAAGTCTGGGGTCCCTGAAGTTGGAAAGATTACTTGAGAGACAAAAGGAAGCCGACAGGAGGCCCAAGCCCAGTGTGAGGGTCCCTCGGGGCTACGTATCACGTAGCGTGCGGTCCATCAGGTTTGGATTACTTAGAGGCACGAAGGCCAGAGAAAGGGTGGTGAAGAGAGACCAGTGCTATGCTTCCTTTTGTTGTTTGATTCGAAAGAAACTTCTATAAAAAGTCTGCGACGATAGCCTTCCTCATTTCCAGCTTCTTCCCCCCAGGTTTTCAAATTCCAAATTCAAGGATTCCTTTGTCTTTGTGTTTTACTAAAATGATGAGTTGAGTTCCATGAGAAATAGCTAGCCGTGCGGCTGCAGGTACACTCTCCTCTGCTTGGACCTCAGTTTCCCCATCTGTTAGGGGAGCAGGTTGTACGCAGGTGGTGCACACTGGTGGCCCTGAGGCAGGGGCACATCTGGGAGCCACGGAACACATGTCCCTCCCCTGCCTGCCCTCCGAAGGCTTCTGATTTGCAACCCCTAGCAGCTTCTAGAACCTGTCAGTGTGAGGTCTGATGCATGGACTTATTTCACAAAATTCTCCCAACACCCTCACTTTCTATATGAGGTAGAATGAGAACCAGGGAGACCAAGTGGCCTGTCCTGGGTCAGATGGCTGGCAGTGACAGAGCTCACATTAGAACTCAGGGCTGTCTGAAAAAGAGATGTTTTTTTAACTCCTACACCCCACCCCACACACAAGTACACAACCCCCAACTTACTGGAGAAATCAGTATCTCTACAGCCCGCATCTCTGCCAGGCCCAGAGCCAGGGCAGAGGTGGTGATGAGGATGGGCAGGTAACCTGACTGCAGGGACCGCAGCCCATTCGTGTGGCTGAGGCCACAGATGCATGTGGGGCTGCCCTTCGGCTCAAGCAGAGCGGCTGGGGGCTGAGGTTCACCATGACTGGTGAGTGGGGACAGCCCTGCAGCTCCATGCATTCTGGCTGTGTGTCACTGGGCAGAGTCTTGCCCTCTCTGGGCAGCAGCTTCATGTCCATTAAATAAAAGGAGCTAGTGGAAATGTTCCCATTCC